GTCAGAACATGTGTGTGTGTGTGTCCCAAACTGTCCATGTCCTGCTTCCTGGAACCTGGGACTATATGGGTTATGTTGTAGAGGGGCATTCTGGTCACTTGTCGCTGACCTGGAAGTGAGAAGATTCTCTGGATTACCCCAGCTGGCTGGGTCACAAGATTCTTTCCTTCCGTGTGGAAGCAGGAGGCAGAAGGGGAAGAAGGTGTCAGAATAGTGTCATCTGAGAAGGGCTCACCAGGCTGTTGCTGGAGGAAGAAGGAGGAAGGGGTCTAGAGCCCAGGAATGTGACGAGCAGCCTTTAGAAACCAGAAAAAGCAAGGAAGCTCATTCTCCCCTAGGCTTCCAAGAGAAGCGCTGCCCTATCAGTACATGGATACTAGCTCACTGAAACCCAGCCACCCCAGACTCCTGTCCCCAGAACTGTGAGGTGCATGTGTTGCTGTGATGCTGTAGCACCAGGAGGGAAAACCAACTTAGCTGCCATCAAGTTGTCTTCCAACTCACAGCGCCCCCATGTGTGTCCACGTAGAACTGAACTCCATAGGGTTTTCCATGGCTGACTGTTCAGAATTAGATTACAGGCCTTGCTTTCAACGTGCTTCTGAGTGGACTACTCTTCAGCTTTTTGGTTAGCCATCAAACATGTTAACTGTTTCTACCACTCAGGGACCCACAGGAAGAGGAAGCTCCTAAGTAGGCACGTGCTCCCAGCCAGGCCTGTGTGCTTGGCAAGATGTAGTCTGCCCCAGGGAGGGGCTCAGCTCATCTCCAGCTCTGGGAGCTGCGTTGTTCCCTGGAAAGGCCCCTGAGGCCAGATTTCAATGGCCTTGCATACAGAAGGGATCATCACAGAAAGACAGGAACTCCAAAAGCAACTCTGTAATGGATGAAGTGCCATCAGCCTGCCCTACAAGGAAGACAGTAAGAATTCTCTGGAATAAAGAGGAAAAGGACTTCTAACTACCTTCACCTGTCTATGGGACCCCCATTTCACCCTGGCCCTATTGCCCACCATCCTGGACATCAGGCCGCAACCTGGCTGCGGCCTCCTCCCCCTCCCAAGGTGCTTCTTCCTCTTTCAGAAGCAAGTATTTCAGCCTTTAAGACCTGGAGGCACCCTCTACTCACTCTAGCTGTGGGCTCCCTTCAAGAGCGAGTTGAGGGCAGAGCCTCCTAGCACCGAGTCACCCAGCCACCAATGTGCAGCCATCACGAAGGGCAGCAGGGAGGGGGCTCATTTGAAAAACAGTTGAAGCGAGGAGACACTAACCGCCGCAAACCTTGGCTGGGTCTGCTGAAGGGAGGCAAACCTTGTGGCCGATAACGCTACCCAGGCTCCAAGAATTCCTTAGCCCAGTGCCTCCGTCGCTAATAATTACTTTGAGGGTGACAATTCACCTTTCTGTCCCCATTCATTCAACTTTTTTTTTCAACTTTTTATTGGAATTGAGTAAAAGTTACAGAGCAGATCATCAATTTTACATTCAACACATCATACACTTTGCTTCATTCTAGGGTTGCAATCCCCTCCAGGTGCCAACAGTTAGCAGCATTGACCTCTGTTCACTTTAACCCCTGCATTCCTCCCTGTGTCTCCTGCCACCCCCATCTTTCCTCTGCCACCCTCCCTCTGGTTGTATATTGCCTGCCCCATCACCCATGTCAGCCTGTGTCTACCCTCTAGCACATGTATGAAAAAAAAAAAAACATGCAGAAATATGTAATCATTTAAAAACCCACAGGGCATATTCTGGCTGCCAGCACACAGCCTTTCTCTTTCCATGAGTCTAGAGTCCTCAGCTGCTCAGTCTCGCCATGTTATCACCTCTGCCTCCATCTGTGCTGTCGCTGCTTCTCTGGATAGGGTCCCCCACTCTGCTCGTGCTCTTCTCCCTTGATGGTCCTAGGGTCCTCCGGTCCTGGGATGCAAGATTAACTCCTCCCCGCTTTTTGTTACAGAACTTCCAGCTTTACCTTTACAGCTGTGACCATCGCAGTTAGGTACAATAACAATTACTCACTACTGAATCAATGACCCGAACCCCCTCCCCATCTCCTTTCCCCCGACCCATCTTCAACTAGTATTTTCAGTACTGCCAGTGATCAACAGGGATTTGTCCCTAAGAAAGTCCTCCGTTGCAGATGAGAGAAGGCCAATACCAACCTGAGCAGCCCAGGCAAGGGGCTTTGTGACAATGGTGACATTGAGTAGACTTGTCTTTCCCTGTGGTGGGCACCACTGGCGCTAGGCCATGCAATCTCATGGGTCGTTCATCATCCTGAGAAGCGACTGTTTTCTACCATTGTGCTCAGGCCACGGCCAGAATGCAAGCAGTGTCTTGTTTACTTACCTGCCCCTCCTTCACGTTCCCACTGTGTTTCCAACACATGTCCCCATTTCTGAGAAAAGTCCAAAAGGCAAGCAAGCGTCAGCAAGTGAAACTGTCCAGGAGACCCACCTTGTGCCTCTGCCCATGAGGGGGCAGGGAGGAGGCAGGGAGCCTGTGTCTGGGGCTCCACCTCTTGGTTGTAGTTGTGGTTGTGGCTGTGCACAGTCATCAGGAAGCTGGTGACAGCAGCGATGCTGCAGCCCACATGCCCATGATGGGGTTAAACGCCGCAGAAGTGCCCGACCCCAGCTGCTTCTCAGAGCTCATTTCCCTGCTCTCTCCTGGACCCGCTTTTACTTTTAATGTTTAACTGCATAGACCACCTCAATTCACATGTGTGTATCTGGTGGGGGAGGCACCCTCAGGGTATCAACCCAAACTAAATATTAACCCAGAAGTTACACGAAAGTAACTGAGGCAAGCCAAACGTGACTACAAAGGAATCGGCCAACGTGACTCTGCCCACGAACTTGGGAACTGAATTCAAGGACCAAACTCCGGAGGAATTCTGCAAACAGGAAGAAAGCAGCAGCAGCAGCATGCTTGTTTGGAGCCCTAGTGACAGTGGGCTAAGCACTGAACTGCTAACCTTGTGGTCAGCAGTTCGAATTTGTAAAGTTGTGCCGATTCGGAAACACTGTGGAGCAGTTTTCTGTCATGTAGGGTCGCTGTGAGTTGGAATCAGCTGGATGGCAGTGAGTTTGGTGTGCGGGTTGGGATGTTTGTTCTGGAAGCCATATGCTCTGATCAGATGTGGCTCAGCTCTGAATGGGTCGCCTCAGGAACCGGATGCCCAGTGCCACCCTGAGCTCTCCCCATTTAAGAGCACGTCGGGGCCAAGTGGATGAGTCTGGGTGGTGATGAGCGCTTCCCTACCAGTTTCAGAACGAGGTCTACAACTGTCAGAAATGAGCATCATCCCTGTAAGAGTTAGGGGGATTTACGCTGAGACCTTAGCTCAGTAGAAGGGAATGACAGGGAACAGACTGAAGTCACACCTTCCCACAGCGCTCCTATTCGAGCAGTGGTCACAAACCAAACTCGCTCCTGCTACTCAACCATGCTGAGCACATGGCACCTCATGTGACAGGAAGCAGCCGCCTTGCCGGATGAGTAAAGACCTAAAGTAGGGGGTTGAAGATGCTGTATGGAACAGAGAGGGTGGGAGGAGACCACCAGAGGCCGGCCTGGCCAGGTGCTGGATTGGCTGAGTGCTTGTCGAAGAGCTCCCCAAAAAGCAGGCAGGCAGGAGACTGTGGACACCACCCTGCGCAGACTAGCTGCTCTGTGAATAGCCTCATTCTTCTGGGATGGACGCTGACCTCAGCATCACTAGAGGCCAACAGGCCTGCTCCTTATATGACACTGGACTGGCCATGGCGGAGCAGGGCGGCCAACTTCTTGTTCCTCTCAGCCAGTTCTCCCTGAGCAGTTAGCAGACACATGCTGTCACTGCACGAATAAAGCACCCACTGTTGCCTTGCTCACTTTTTCCGTACGCCTGCCCATCGCCATCCATCAGAACTGCCCACTCCTGTCCAGAATCACTGTGAAACGCACGAGCTCATTAAGAAGCTTCTAGTAAAACAGCAGTTCCAAACTACCAGCTGTTCTGCGGGAGAAAGATGAGGCTTTCTGCTCCCGTAAAGATTTACAGCCTCGGAAACATTGTACAGGGTCGCTATGAGTCGGAACTGACTCCACGGCACATATCAACAACAACAACAACAGTAAAACAGCATGCAGTGAATCCTTGTAAGCGCTCTACCAAGTGGGTAGTGTTCCCATTTCACAGATGAGAAAATAAATGCTTAGCATTTATTTAACACAGTATCTGCCTGTGTTCCCAAATGCCCAGACCTCTGGCCCCAGCTCCTGCCTGCAGGTCCAGTAGACATCCTTCCACATTGCTTTTCTTGTCTGGGGTCGACATGCACACCACCCAGAGAGGCCAGGCTCCTGCAGTGGGCCCCTCTCCTCACCCTCCTCTGACCTCCCATCGGCTAAAGGTGGCAGCGCCTGGGGTTAGAAAGCCTTGTTCGATGAAGGGTTAAGTGCGATGGAGCAGGCCTGGCCCTCACAAAAGAAGGAGCATTTTCCCGCTTCACGTTTATGGTAATCCTGTGCAGGCAAACAACGACAACATTGTGCGTGTTTTGGGAAGAGGGTGGCCAAAGTGTCTTTAATTCACTATTTACCCGTGAGAATTGTTCCCAGGAGCCATCCTGCAATAAAATCTTCTTGGTCTATGAGAATAGAAAGAAATTGAATCAAAAGACTCTATTTCCACTTGTATTTATTCAGTCTGGGAAATTCAGTGGGCCGGGGCATTAGTATCAGCAGGGGATTCCTTGCTCCTAGCGTTAAATTACTGTCATAATCGCTCAATTATTTCTTCCTTGTACTGTTTAAAATAAAAATCCATCACATTCTATGTTTTTTTCCTCGCATTTATTAGGTTGAGTGTTTAGGAAAATCAATTATAGCCAGTCAGGCATGAATTGATGAATGTTCTTGTAATAATTGTCAGTTGTTAAACCGAATGTTCTCTCTCTCTCTCTCTCTCTCTCCCTCTCTCTCTCTCTCTTCGCCCCTTCGTGCTGCCGTCAGAGGGCAGAGGTAGCTCAGAGAGAGGCGGGGACCTTAAAGGAGCAGCTCTCATCAGCCAACCACTCGCTCCAGCTGGCCTCGCAGATCCAGAAGGCTCCGGACGTGGTGGGTAGCCGCGGCTGCCAGGCCCCTTGCCCTCCTGGCATCCGTGAACTTGATGTTATTTTGTTTATTTGTTTCGAACGTCTCTCTTTTCGGAATCGTGATTTAAACTGACCTGCTTTCTTGGTGGGCAGTGTTTTTCACAGTGTGGGAGTAGGACCTGTTAGAGTCAAAAGGGCCAAGTCTTTTGGATTCGGCCTGGGTGCTTCCTGGTCAGCACAAGAACTCCCAGTGCAAGGGTGGAGGCAGCTATGGCAGGATGACTCCTTGAGGGGAATGGACAGTGTCCAGGTGGAGATCTTAAACAGGATCCCTGTCCGATTGGAAAGTGTGTTCTCCTGGATGTATGCTTCCATGCATACATAAAAGCCCTGCTGGAGCTGTAGGATAAGCACTAGACTGTTAACCACAAGATCAGCAACTCAAACCCACCAGCCACTCTGCAGGAGAAAGATGAGGCGCTCTGCTCCTGTAAAAATGTGCAGCCTCGGAAGCCTCACATCAGGGTCGCTACGAGTCGGCATCAACTCAATGGCAGTAGGTTGAGCTTTGGGTGGACTGGGAGGCTAAAGTGGTAATAACACCACAGCCTGCTCTCTGACGTCTCTCACATGAAATGCCAGCATTCTGGAGAAGCAGGGCCCTTGATCCAGCTTGATCAAGAGGACTTAGAAGGATTGATTGTTTCTCAGGCTCTTTCCCTTCAGTGCTCTGTGGTGGTTTGGAGCAGCCTAGGACCGTGGCCACCCACCAGATTCCTAGGTCCATCTCCCATCTCTTTAACTTCCCTACATCTCGATTTATTCGTCCATAAAGTGTGATTTTCAAAAGGCTTCGAGAAGTTGTTATTGTGAGGAAAGCGCCTAAGGCAAGTCCTGGCACTTAGTCAACCTGGGCTGTTCCAGGAGACCTCATTCCCACCAGGCTCACTTCTCTGGCTGGTTCACGTGCAGACCTCAGACAGTTACACTAGGCTTCAGTTTCCATGTCTGACAAATAAGAATTCCGTGACCTGATCGTTGATGAGGAAGAAGTATATGGCAATGGTTGTAGTTGTTCTTGAGGGCCATTGAGTTGGTTCCAACCCATAGCAACCCTATGTAGGGTTTCCAAGGAGCGTGTTCTTTTATTCAACAAAGATTTATCCAGCCTTCACCGTGTGCCAAGGCTTGTAGCAGACACCAGGAAGATGGTGAGGAGTGAGAGTAGGCCCTTCCCAGAGAGGCGACAGTCTAATAGGAAAATATGAGCGATGTGACATTCGTATATCAGTGTGATGTCACACAATCTGCGAAAAAGGGTGTTATTACCTCTTTATGAAGATGAAGAAGCAAGGACTCTGTCCCCTGGAGCACACAGTCAGTCCACATCTGAGCCAAGACTGGACAGGGCTCTCGTGGCTCCTAACCCAGAGAATGCCACTGCTGGCTACCCAGCCAATACCTGTGGAGCTGTCCTAGGACTGGAGTTGGAGGAATAGATAGATCGCCTTGCCTTTCTTTCTTGCAAGACATGTTTGGGTGGACTTGAACTGCCAACCTTGGTTTTGTAACCAAGCACCACTCAGGGATCCCTCGGACCCCCAGACCAGGACTTTTCAGTGAAACCTGTGAGAGCCAGAATACAACCCATTTTCCTTCTCTGATGGGTTTCCATCTGGCACGGGTTCCAGCTTTTGCAGGTTTGACTGTATTCTCATAGGAGGGAATCTGAAACAGTGTTTTTAGGACCCAAAGCAAGTTTGGAATGTTAGGGCCTCCTCTTAAGAATGGATTTTTGTTTTCACCTGATTAAAGTGTTTCAGGAGATGGAGGAAAGTTGTCTATGAAAGAAGTCTTTGCCCTTCGTGGATCCTGGCACTTCATCTTAGTGGAAATGTGCCCTGTGCTCTGACACTTTTTCCTTATTCAAGTTCAGAGGGGCTGCAGACCACAGTCAAAAGGAAACCCCCAGGAACACAATGGTTCTACCCTCTCAGTCTCTACAGTCCTACGGTCGTACTTGGCACCTCCTCCACTGAAATGTGTCTATACAAGGTGCCTGAGCTGAAGGTTTAGATTGAAAGGATTTTTTGGCACCATCCTGAACTGCAGCAACCCAAACATTTCAGAAGGAAATGAATGTTTTTGCAGGTAGGGCAAGTTGTAGATGCGAGGGGTGCTTCACCACTTCATCTTCAGTAAGTGCCGTGTTTACATGGCACTGATTCAGCCTTCAGAGAGTGGCCCTGCCGGGGTTTCCATCGACGCTGCACTCCCTCGTAGTTAGAGTATTCCAGCTCCAGCCAGCTGAGTAGCAAGCATAGGAACCTGGGCCAGCCGGAAAACGGTTTGTTGGGTTTGGCTGAAGCAAAACTACAGTAGAGTTTGTAGATGCTGCAAAGGACAAACTGATCTTCTGGATATCCCTGAGTGTGAACAGCCTCCTACTGCATGTCTACTCTGGGCTAGGGACCAGACAGGCATTGCCTGGGCGCTTCATTCCTGCCTCACACACCACAGTGTGAGAGGTGCTGCCGGCAAGTCAGTGTCGACTCCTGGCAGTCCCATGTGTTAGGGATCAGAACTGCTCCAAGGAGTTTTCTTGGCTGACATCTGTATGCACACAGTCAGGCAGGTCTTTCTTCTGTGGTGCTGCTGAATGGGTATGAACCACCAACCTCCAAGCTAGTATACAAGTACCAACCATTTGTGCCACCCAGAGACCTTGTGAGGCTTGTGAAAGTGAAGTAATTTACCCAAGGCCACGAAGCCAGGAAACGATAAAGCAAGAATTTACACTTATTGTGGTGAGGTCCAATCAACATAGTAAAACTCCGTGCTGACTTCCTATGTGTGCACACATTGTCGCAGCCACTGTGTCAGTCCAACGCATTAAAGGTCTTCCTCTTCTCGCTGACCTTCCACTTTACGTAGTGTGATGTCCTTCTCCAGGGACTGGTCCCTCCTGATCACGTGTCCAAAGTACATGAGAGGAAGTCTGGCCAGTCTCACGTCTAAGGAGCACTCTGGCTGTACGTCTTCCAACACAGAGCTGTTCATCCTTCTGACAGTCCGTGGTCTCTTTACTATTCTCGGTCACCGTGATTCAGATGCATCAGTTCTTCAGCCTTCCTTAGTCGTTGTCCAGATTTTGCATGCAGATCAGGTGCCTGGAAATACCATGACTTGAGCCAGGCTCCGCTTAATCCTCAAGGTGTGACCTCTTGACTTTTAAACACTTTAAAGAGGTCTTGTGCAGTAGATTTGCCCAGTGCAGTAAGTACATTGTTGGATTTCTTTACTGTTGCTTACTTGGGCATTGATTATGGATCCAAGTAAATTTGAATCTAAATTTGCCCTACTTCAAAGTTCCTTTTTTCCCTAACACCAACCTACCCCTTGTTCTTGTACATTAAAGGACACAGTCTATATGAAAGTACATAGTAAAGTGTCGCTTGGGACATTGGGTTGATCTCTGACTCCCAGTGACTCCATGTAATGCAGTGGAACTGACTGTCATCTCTACTGAAGCAGAGCACCAAGACTCTGGGTGGATTTGAACCTCCAGTCTTTGGTTAGCAGCCAAGTGCTTAATGATTGTACCACCAGCACTCCTTTGTTTATAAGGTATTTACAGACATATGTTCAGTCCAGGGCTCTGGTGTACCATACTGTTGTTGTTGTTGTTGTTGTTGTTGTTGTTGTTGTTAAGTGCCGTCAAGTCAGCTCCAACCCACAGAGACCCTGTATAGGGTTTCTGAGGAATGGCTGGTGAGCTTGGACTGCGACCTTGCAGTTCAAATGACTTTACAGTCCAGCGCAGTAGCCCACAGTGCCACGATGGTGGTTATGTGCTGTGGAGTCGGTTCCGACTCATAGCAACCCTGCATAGTGTTTCTGAAGCTGTAAATCTTTACGGGAGCAGAAAGCCTCATGACTTTCTCCCGCGGAACGACTGGTAGTTTTGAACTGCTGACCTTTGAGGTTAGTAGCCTGACTCGCAACCACTACACTCCACACTAGGCCATCTTTTTTAACCTAAACAGACCATAATAGTAGAAAATGTGTGCGCACATGATGGAATCACCTGCTTAGTTTGACTGCTGGCGGCAGCAATAAGAAACAGCTACAAAGCAGAGGTCCCTGTTCACTTTTCCCCTCAGTGGGGCAGATGGAACTCGAAGCTTGGCCTGGCTAGCCATCGTCCGCAGTCAGGGTCCCCCGTGGTGTACACCTTCGGCATCTCCCCTCAGGTTTAACATGAAAAAGACTGAATCTAGCTCATCTCATCCTGGGACAGCTGCTCCGTAGCCAGTCACACAACTGGTGAGGTCTCCTGCAAACAGCTGAGGAGTGCGGGCATCTGATGGAAGGCCACCTGAGCAGCTTCTCTTTAGATGTTTCTTTTATCTTTTGAGAGTGCTCTCCACTGGCATCGGAAGCCCTTCGGTCTTCTCCAGATTTTAAAGTCAGACTTCCGGGCTTCGGATGTCCGTTTCCATTGCTCCCTTCATCTGCTGGTCTGAGCCAGGGTCCTGAACCTGACTCCAGCCAGAAGCACCCATGGAGCTCCCAGGCCATGCCCTAACCTCCAGGCCAGGGCCAGGGAACCCAGCTGCCAAGAGATGCTGGGGTAATTGAGCCTTGGGTAGATGGGAGGACACCTGTGGCCCTGACCCTCTTGGCAGCCATGTGGGCCTCATGTTAATAATTTCATTTTCAAGTCACGATCCCAGCTGGTGATGGCTGCCCCTTGCGCACTCAGTGGTTCTGACTTTCTTTTTCTAGATGGTGTTCTTTGGAGTGAGGGGCCCCACCTCTGTCTCTGACCCAGGCCCTTCTTTTTGGTTCCTTGTCATGTCCTGACAATGCAGCACCAGGGGCTAGACTCTGGAAGGCTTTAGGGTCTCTTATCTCATCTGACTTTACACAAGACAGCAAGGAGTTCTGCTATGTTGTGAGCAAAGAATGTGGCTCAGGTTTCTAGGGGTTAAATAACGTGTCCACACGTCAGCTTGTGGCCAAGCCAGACTGGCCCTGGGTTGACGAAGCACCTCCAGATGCTGTCCTCACACCCGTACGTGGTGTCTGGACCACTTACCCGTCATGTATCCGTGTGCGTACCCACTGCTCTGGGTGTAGTCTTTTTGGCTGGCACCTCCAAACACAAAGTCAGACGGTCTCATGGCGAAGACCTTCACCTCCCAGGAGGGACATCTGGGAACCAGTTAGTTACCCTGGGTGACTGACAGTCCCCAAGTGTGAAAACCCGATGACAAGCGCACGAGGGCATAGGAGGGTGTGCTTGCTTGTGCCAGCCAGGACCTACCCCACCACCCACATGGGGAAGACCAGGATGCGGAGCAGTACACCTCATCTCTGAGGGAGGGAGGGTGGCTTTTTGACTGTGGCGTGAGCTGCCCCCAGATCTTGCCATCAATCAGGCCAGAGCTCCCCGCCAGTCCTCTGCATCCCATGACTCCCACCCAGGCATGCCTCAGCCTCGCAGAATAGCCACAAATCTGTCAGGAACCTGAGTTCATTTTACAACTTGAAGAAGAACTTTGAGAAGTAGAATTATGGATGAGCGGTTTCTTTTTTATACCTTTCTCTGTTTTGCTTATTTTCTACAAGGAGCTGATTTTGTTTTTAAGAAAGATTTTAAGTTAAAAAAAGGCGTTCCCCGTATGCATTTTCCACTTTCATCCTCTCTTGACAACTTGACTCAGAATTAGCTTGTCAAATACAGTCTAAGCTTCAAGCTCATTGACTTCCTGGTGAAACCAAGGGACGTTGAGCTTCCTTCTCACCTTCTTAGGCCCTGCTGCTACTGCCCCTCCTCCTGGAGCCCTCTGCCCCACCTCATCCCCACCTGCCCACCTCCTCTCAGATCTTTGTTCAAACACTGGGGTTTTTTTCTACTACAGAATCGTTGTTGTTGTTGTTATGTGCCGTGGAGTCGGTTCCGACTCATAGCGACCCTGTATAGGATTTCCAAGGCTGTAAATCTTTACGGGAGCAGAAAGCCTCAACTTTCTCCTGCAGAACAGCTGGCAGTTTCAAACTGCTGACCTTGCGGCCCACAGCCCGATTCGTAACCACCACAAAATCATAGAAATGTTTATTAAACAAGATCAGAAGCTATTGTTTCTCAACACATCCCCCATCTAGGTCTGTCCACGTCTGCAGACAGGGTGCCCATTCCTCTCACCCTTCCCTGAAGACTTCTGTGCACTTCGATTTACACCCCATCAAAATGGCACTTTGAACATCGTCAACAGACACACATTGTGGTCCTTTGTGTTTCTCTCCTTTTTAAAAACACAACTTTTCATTGTGAATTGGGTGCAGGACCTACTTTGTTTCAGTGCCTTCAGTGTAATACCCCTTCTCCGACTTTCTCCCTACAGTTCCGCAATTGGTTGATTATTCTAAGATGTATGTCCCTCAAGTGACGTTGTTGTTCCTATTATGTTGTTAAGTGCTGTCGAGTTAGTTTCGACCCATAGCGACCCTCTATAGGGTTTCCAAGGAACAGCTGGTGAGCTTGAACTGTCTACCTTGCAGCTCAAACCGACTTTGCAGTCCAGCACATTAATCAGCAGCGCCACACCAGGACCCCTGTTCCTGTTAAAGACCTGTGTATTGTTTGGGAGTGCAGTGGCTCTGCACAATAATAATCACTGGACTGTGGACCACAGGATCGGCAGTTCAAGCCCACCAGTGGGTCTACAGGAGAAAGATGAGGCTTTTTTCTCCCCAAAAAAGATGTTCGGTCTCAGAAATCCTATAAAAGATCACTATGAGTCAGAATCAACTCAACAACCCTTAACAACAAAACAACTACATCACTTGGCTACAAATTGAGCCACAGGACAAGTTCACTTGCAGATCTGAAGGGTGATTAAGGCCAGAGTTTCAGGGGCTCCATCCGCCTCTTACCAACCAGTAAGCTTGGTCTTTTGAACAATGTTGTTGTAAAGTGCCGTCTAGTCAGTTCCAACTCACAGAGACCCTGTATAGGGTTTCTGAGGAGCAGCTGGTGGGTTTGAACTGCCAACCTTGTGGTTTGCAATCCAGTGCTGATTCTAGCATCTCTTTATGAGACTTTTTCTGACCATTTTGTAGAGTCTCCCAATGCCTAGTTGTCCCCATACCTGCTCCCTGCTTTATAATGTTCTGTAGCACTTAGCACCCAACGCCTGACTCACGATTCATCACCTCTCTGCCTCCTGTCCGTGCCCTGGGAACCAAGGGATTTTTGTATTTTTTGGTTCCCTGTTGCATACCAGCACATTGTGGGCACCTGATAGAGATTTGCTGTGTGGATGAATCCAGATGGCATGGAACGGTGGTCTGGAGGGCACATGGCAGGCTAGTCACCCACTGAGCCTGTGAGTTTTCACCTCGTCCGGTGAGCCCGACATGTGAACGAGGCTGGCGCAGTTTTGTCATTTCCTGTGTTCTTCCTAGGAGCAGGCCATAGAGGTGCTAACCCGCTCCAGCCTGGAAGTTGAGTTGGCCGCCAAAGAGCGGGAGATTGCTCAGCTAGTGGAGGACGTGCAGAGACTCCAGGCCAGCTTGACGAAGCTGCGTGAAAACTCGGCCAGCCAGATCTCCCAGCTGGAGCAGCAGCTCAGCACCAAGAACAGCACACTCAAAGTAAGTGTGTCTCGAAGCCACAGCAAGGGGCTGCCCAGGGAGGGAGGGCCAGTCTGCACGTGGATCCCCCCAGCACCTCTCCATCGGTGTATAGAGTGGGGGTCAGCAGGTGGAGTCAGGATGGCAGGGCACGGCTGCGTCCCACCCACATCCTGAGCTCCTCAGTAACTACGTCTAGGATGCGCACTGGGCATGGCGACCAAAGGCAGGAGACCTGGTCTCAGAAGCTGCTTTATCTGCCCCGCCTTGGCCGTCACATGTTTGCTATCTCAGAGGTAATGGTTAAAAGCCATTCTCCTCGAAAAGCAGAAGTGCGTGCTTGAGCATTGTTCTCAGTGGGAGCTTCAGCCATCCACAAAAGCTTCCCCTTAAATGAGAGCAGTAGAAACAGGACCTGAGACTCTCCCAAACTCCTCCCTCATGCACCCCCCGGAGCTCCTGTCACAGGGAGCATGTGCAGACGAGAACTTCCCATTGGCAGCAAACATGGCCTCCTTGAGTCTCTGTACCACAGCGGAAGGAGAGGCCCCCACCAGGCCCCAAGGCGGCGGGACTGAGTTAACTACGTTAGTGCCTGCCTGGACGCTTGGCCACAAGATGGAAAGTCTGGTGTCCACCTAAAGGCTCCATGTGCTCTGCCCAGGTCACAGGCTGTGTCTGCACATGGGCCTATAAGTAACTTCCCTGGCATTCTGAGGATAGTCCATGCCGTAGGAAAACTTGAGAACTGTGGCCTCAAATCACCAGCTCTTTCCGTGCTCACAAGCACATGGAAGGCACTCTGTTCATGGAGCTCTTCTGTGAGCTAAGCCCTGATGGCCACATACCTGAGCTGCCGGAGATGCTTCTGAGTCCAGGGGCCCAAAGATTGAGGCTGGTTCAGCACCAGCATGCCCACAGGAATTGCTAGCCAGCCTACGAGAAGAGAGTTTTCTTGGGGTTTCTCATAAATTTGTATCCCAAATCCAGAACCCAGAACCTTTATCTATGTTAAAAATAATACCGCTACTTCGTTTAAGGAATTTACAGTCTGTGGAACTTAATATTAGGACAGAGAGTTCTGGAATCCTGCATCATAGCATGGCAGAGCCAGAAAGTCTCCTCTGGAGAGGGAGGTCGTCCTTGACAGGTATGCAGGGGAGCCAGAGAACGGACAGGACTCCAGGCTCCCGTCCTGCACCAGCCTGTGGGCATGCTCGCTTGGATTGCTCCTTCCCCTCTCCATCCATGTGCCAAGGAGTGGCTGTAAAACTTGCCCATTATATGGTAGTATAGTGGAAATACTTCATGTTAAGTACAGTGAATCAAAACTAGTTGTAAAAATGTAAAGAAGATTGGTATTGTATAAGATAATTCTAGAATGTACTTAGGCTCATTTTGATTTAAAAACAAAAAACAGGCCGGCTTTTCTTCTTGACACATTCTGTGTTTCTCACTGAGAATTAAATTGCTCCCACTTCCCAGCAAGCCTGTCCTTCCCGCTGGCCGTTTGAATGGCCCAAGCTCGCTGGCATTGGCTGCACTCAAGACTCCCCTTACGCATGTCTTATTGACTTTTCGAGATGGGTGCCTGGTTCTCTGTGCAGAGACCGTCCTGCCGTCTCTGGGGAGCTGACTGGAATGTGGGCACCGTCATCATCAGCCCTGGGGAAAGAGCCAAGGTTTTGAGTCTCGTCAGCTTATCCAGGACCCCTGCCCATCATCATTTTTCATTTCAAGATTAAATCTAATTTCTCCTGTCATGGCCATTTCTGACCCTGGCTGTGGCATTGTTATTAGATAATTTGCCTTTCTCGTCACCACTGGCGTTCAAGGGGACGGCTCATCCATTCTGCATCTGACAGCGTAAAAAAGAGGTCATAAGACCTTACCATTTTTATGATAGAGCAACTTCTTCTAAATCAGCTACGGTTGTTGTGTTTGCCTGTGTACACAAAAAATGAAATGCAGTTTCACGAACTAATGTCCTGTATATGTATCTGTATCTGTATCTTGGGGGCGCTTTAATCCTGCACAGTTCATGAAACAGTTCAGCAATGCTTCTTGGAAAATTATTACTCCCATCTCTTCATCTGACCTCATAATCAAAACATGTTCTCTAGTAACAAGACTTTTCTGATTTTAATGATCTTAACCCCTTGTGGTCAAGAATAATGACTTCCCTAATATCAAACAGTCTGCCCACAGTCTGCAGACTGTGGAACAGACCATCAATTACTGATATGCAAATTCAAATTAAAGCTGAAGAAAACGAAAACAAATCTACGAGAGCCAAAATATGATCTT